GTCGCCGTTACGTTCTGCCAAACAAATATCAGAGCAGCGACTCGAGAACAGACGCTCCGGAAGTTGTAATCAATACTGACGAAAGCACGACACAACATATGGGGAAGTATAATATTAAAATGAAATGGTTACACAAAGCCCCTTTCATATGCTCCATTACGACCAGCAATTACGGCGAGGAAAGTCTAACATTTTGAATCTGAATCTGAAATAGAGCGATCGCGGTCAATTTTAAAGCACAATCCCAGTATCCATCTGCAGATAAACCCCCCTCCCCCCCCCAAAAAAAGGGGCCTCAGGATAGCAAGAATACAAGATTCGAAAATAATAACTCCCGAAACGTCGGAAAACTTTTACCAGACTACACGGCGTCATATCCCGGAAGACGGCCATCTTCGTGTTCACAGCCGTGAGAACCTGAAATCTCAACTATTCCGTCTCGAGAACTTGATAATCTTGTATCAAGTGGTAAGGTTACAAATACGGTCTGTGAAAGGGGAACTGGGATGGGGGGGGGGGCAAAACAAAAAAACATGTGAAGCTGAGGGCAGTTTTTCACAGTACTAAATAAATACTGATTTACTCCAAAGTCACAATATAAATATACAATATTATAATCATTTTTTTTAATATTCTCAGAAAATAACACTTCCCACAGGCATTTCCAAACACAGTTTTTTTTTTTGCAACACCGACACGTGGCACAATACACTTGACGACGTTCGATTCTCAAGGCAGAAAAGTATTAACAGCTTTCTTTCATTTTACACCAAACCTTAGTTATCACTTGTTTAGATTCCTGCTTTGAATTTTTTTTTCTCTACCTAATTTACATGATAACTAGAAGGTATTTAGTAAAATTTCTTGGCAGACCATTAAAAACATGATGGTCCACATAAAGAGAAAAACATTTATTGATAAAAGGCAGACTTGGATTAAAAATCTGCACTCATTTACATATTGTCAAAATGGAATACGATGTACATGGTAATATTAATAGATATAATAAAGCAGGCAATTTCTTCAACAACTGTGTTTTTTGATAATATGTTATGTATTGTACATAGGTCCATGAAAACATTGATCAGTTGGTGGAGTCTGCGAACTTGGTCCCACACTGCAAGGGTATATAAAAGAGACAGATATGGTGCTGAAGTGATACGGCTAGTGAAGTGGCAACGCTCGGCAACGCAGCAGTCAGTTACAAAAACAATATTTAAAAAAAGATGGGGGGGGGGGATTCATCATCTCTTCCAACTGGCATGAGACACCTATGTACACATCTTTCACTTTTTCTGATTCAACTAATTTACAAACTGATACTAAATAGTTTCCAAATTATTAATTAATAAAACAGGAAACTACTAAAAAGAAAAAAAACAATCAAAGCAATACTGGCAAAAGTTCAGTCTTGTTCAAAATTCTGTCACAAATCCTTAGCACCTGGATGAGAAAGCAAATCGAATCTCACCATTCCATTAAAATTTATAACTTACTCTAAAACGTAATTCAAGTGCGCATTACATGATTCAGATTTAAACAACAACAACAACAACAAAATATAATAATAATTACAGCATAAATTTTGGTCTCGTCTCAAGCAGCACCCAGGTGCTAAGGGGCACAAACTTATTGCAACATATCGCCATATTTCTTCAACTGAGATCCAACCAAATACAGTTTAGATTTGAAAACAGTTTCACAACCAATGAATACATGCGTGCACGCCCAACTGGGTGGGAGAGCAGGCCACACAAAGTAACACAATACTTTTAAGTTGGCTACGATGCCAGTTCAGCGTGCATCACATTGATAAACACATTCTCTTTTAATTTTCTTTAAACTCATCATTTCACATAATATATTAAGATTCTGTAATTTAAATACACATTTCTTTTTACAAATCATATGGTCTTCATCTGAAAATATGATTTTGAAGCAAGACTAGATCTGAAACATCACATTTAAGGACAGCAATGAATTTTGATATGTCAAACATAACAAACGTAAAGGAATCGGTCACCCATTTAATGAGCACAGGACCGTAAGTAGAAACTACAAAACACGTCTTATCACAAAGCCAAGAACCACTTCCATTGGATGGTACTAAATAAAAATATTTTCTATAAATAATCACAAACAACCACCTTCAGGGCAAACCCTTCTTATATCTGCTGAAATAATTACAAGACACTTTGGCATTAATGACACAAATTGTGTGCACTTTGTGAAGAGCACGATCACCTACAGAAAAAAAAAAGGGTCCTCTGAACTGACTTACTGCACGGAACGTGGAGCGAAGACAAAAAAAATTTAGCACGAAAAAGGAAGTCATGTCGGAAACCACGTAAGGACCGGGGCGATATCTTGTGTACAATGTTCACTCCTAAATGATTAATGCTATCTACAACCTTATTTAAAAAAATAGATTATGTACATATCATTCCATGCCCATATCAAAGTTTTATATATACCTTGCAATCACTGTGGTTTGGAATGAGTAAGAGTTGCACATCACACTTGCAAAGAAACGATTAACATCATTTAACATCTTGGTCTAAGCCAGCACAGCAATGGAATGAAATTTTTAAAAAAATATTAACATAAAGAACAAAAATAACATTCCTTTGCAAGCCTGATATGACGACTTTCTAGAAAAATGCTGAGAATTCTTACATTTGTAACAGTGGAATACAAGCACACAACAATCAAGTGCAGAATGGTATTTACAGAATCAGTTACTGTTGACATTTTCTTTCTGAGTGAGTACGGAACACTTACGCGTCCACCACGGGACGTCTGCGGCCTTAAGGACTGATATGTTGTTTACAAATTTGGAAAAAGTGGGGTCGATACATAAATAATGGTCCTCGGCCAACAAATATCACCTCCGAAATCAAAACGGTGAGAATTTCCTCTGCACAGAAAGAAAACCAACAGGAGAATCATACTATAATAAAGTGGATTATATATTTATATATATATATGTATATGCTATAACCAAATGAATTAAACCTTGTATAAAAATATGGTTATTGGTTAAACCACTAACGTGAACCAAGTTATTGGTAAAACTAAACAGATATATGGTTTATAACTTGACAATGTGTGTGAAGTAAACATAATGGTGTTTTTTTTTTGCTTTTTATTTATTTATTTTATTTTATTTTTTACTCTTATATCTGTAATATAGAACAGAAGCCCTGGTAGGCTGAACACAAGTATGTTTGATTGATATATCAAGTTAATTCGTGTACTGTATCATGTATGTAAAAAACAAAAACAGGTCAGTTAAAAAAACATATGAAATCCCCTATATTCCTAAAACTATTCCCAACAGCAGCTATGTTACGTCAACACTGCAACATACTTAACATGACAAAGCAAAAAACAGAGATACTATAAGTAATCGCAAACAAAACTAGGATACATAGCAGGAACTATCCACGATCTGATCGGGATCTGACTCGCATATTTCTCCACTGTATCCGGGAGACTTCGGCGACACTCGCCCTCCTACAAAATTTGACAAACATTTGTTTTAACTTCATTAGTGTAGAACAAAACAGGAATAGCTTGCATGTTGACATACCACAGTCAGGCGGAAAGAAATGTCGCGCAAGACTGTGATCAGGTACGGATTCTAGTCCTGCATATCCTTCTTCCCATCTGTTAACTTTTGTACACTGGAATGTTTGCATCAGAATTTTTGGAATGAAAACAAATCATTTACTTTGTTACGTTGACTGCGCAATGCTCATAGCTGCTGTCGAGTGCTGTGGTAACTCAACAAATTTTGAAATGTTAATGTCATTACGGCCTGTCCATAAACTCAAAAGACTTCCAACATTCATTCAAATATCACAAACAACACAAGATGGGAAGGCAAAATTCTGTACACCACAAGTCACAAAAACAAAAACAAAAAGGAATGAATGAATGAAAGGAAAGTTGTTTCAAACACCTTCTTCAACATTGCACTAGTATGTGTCCATAATTCATCTTACATATTTATTTATATTTATATATCTATTAAAAGAAAAAGAATAATTCAGGGAACATTTCATAAATGCTCATTGGAATAATTACAATAAAGCTTGGAGGAAGCTGAGCTTCCAGCTGTTTGATATATTAGCAGTATTCTGTGCAATTAGCACTGGATCTTTTGCCTGTTTCTAATTTTTCCATAATTAAAAATAACCGGCTTGAGATCGTATTTTCTTCTTATAAAACTCTGGCACATGATTGGTTGGTGGAATGTGTATA